CTGGAGGCGAATTATACAAACTTCAAGTGCAAATGCCTCCACGAGGTCAAAAATTATATCCCTGTGCAACTCATTCAGCGAATTCAAATCATCCCTGCTGGCAGAGGCTGTCCAAATGTAGAAGTTATGTAAGTTACAAGGGGGAAAAAATATATATATCACAAATACAGGAGGGGTTTTGAAAAGTTTATACCAAAAAACAAATGGGATTTTTCCAAGAACTTTTTGAAGGAGATTTATACGTTTCTTTTGCCAATGAAAATCTGACCGCATGTTGTTATGCATCGTCAAAGTGATTAATTTCAAGTGGTGTTACAAATCCTTAAGCTAATCATGCTACCGTGGTTGCTCGATGTTATGTCAATGAAACTACTATTTCCGACTCACAGGTAATAGTTATTGAATACGTTCTTTGCAGCACTCAGTGAGTCAAGTACTCTACACATACCCCCTCATTTCCTTCACTCATTCGTCCTGAGCCATCACAACCCCGTGCACAACAGAACATGTCACAGCGCTCGGTCCTGTGCTCTCCTCCCAGTTGTCCCAATGCTTGAGCCCACCGTTACAGCCACCGCGTCAGTCTGTCTCATGGAGGCCCTTCCTTTCATTCACTGCCCTCTGCTTTACCAAACATGATGTCCTTCTCCAAGGGTACATCTCTCCTGACAGAGTACTCGAGACAAAGTCTTGCCATTCTTGCCTCTAAAGAGCACTCTAGCTGTACATTTTCCACGATGGATCTGGTTGTCTTTTTGTCAGACCATAGTCCTTTCAGTATTCTTCACCAGTTCCATAATTCAAATGCTCTGATTCACCACAAGAAAGGATAGAAACTGTTATCATCCTTTTTACAGGTGTGAAAACTGAGGCTTAGGGAGGTCAACAAGCTGCCTGAGGCACACTTTTACGGAGGGGTGAAGCCAGGCCTTCACCCCGATGTTTTCCTATTCCAATGCCTCTTCCCTTTCCAATGCTTCTTCTGCCACAGTAGCAGACACTTTGCTCAATGAATTTAAGAGCAATAAATAAGTATCACAACCCGTGGTTGGTTTAAGCGATTACTCTGTGGATCTGTCCTTTCAACTTTAGTGCCGTGACTCTGATTCAAGAATAGGTAAGAGGACAGGAGTGGCAGCAAGGAATTTCATATCGATTTCCTTTCATTGAGATGGTGTAGCCTCCCTTTTTGATGCTTCTGGCACCATCTGTAGATACCACTAGTGAAGGATTTTCCACAGATCACCAGGTGAACCGCTGCCTATGCTCCCTTGGATGTCTTTAGACTTTGGGATGCTTGTAAACACTTCAGTGTGTCCCATTCAATGTATTCAACTTACTTTTAAAATGAGGTATTAGAAATGAGTATAATTATGGCTCATTAAGAAGGCATTGTACTTTCATTCATGTATTTTGCAATATAAAAGTTATTATTAAAAACTCCTCCATAGTCCTGAAACTCAGGAATATGAAGTCTGGTGTTGATCTATGAGAGCAGTTCTTATTGGGGCTCCCCCCTTTGGATTATATTTGCTCTCTCGGGTCTCAAATCTCAACTCTTTGAACAAAGAGAGATGGTGAATTATCATGTTTTCCTACTTACTCCAATATATTTGAAA